ATATACATATAAATGTTGAAGTGACCAACTGGGTCATTATTACACTGTTTGGGAATTTAAATCTGATTAAAGCAGCTGATCGTTCACATTCCTTTTCGCATGCATAGTTGAACGGCACTAGTTCTTTATAGGCGGATCCAAGGGGGACCCAGCAGGCCCAGGCCCCTCTAAATTTGCCAAATTAAAAAAAAAGAAAAAAGAAAATTTGACTAAAATGTTTAGTCTAGGAGTGCCATTTCCGGCCATCTAGAGGTGCCATAATCATAAATGTTCTTACCTCAGCCCAATCATGGTGGGGCTGAGGAATATAGACCCTCCACCTGTGAATGCCCCTCTCCAGGTACCCTCTATTTCAAATTACTGGATCCGCCACTGGATCTTGGTGTACCGCAAGTAAGACAGATCATTATGAATCACTCTCATCTGTTTATCACTTTCATATTCATATATGTATTATATGTATACACAATATATATAAAGGGAGATAAATTCCTGTACTGTATACACAAATTATAAAAGGATATATAATTGGAGAAAAACTGTCATTTATTATTGATGACTACCGTACTCAAATGCTCAAAAAAACCAAAACGGCTATAACTTTCAATCCAATTCAGTCAGTGATACAAATTCGGAAATGTTGCCCCCCCCCCCACCCACCACCCAAAAAAGTGAATAACTGCTATATGTACCAGCTGAGTAAATTTACATTGTACAAATTGAGCAGAAAGCTACATGCGGGAGGTGATAACGCTGTTTCAGTTTTTAAAGGTAAATGGTACTTCTACCTGGCATAACTGGAGCATCTTTGTAATTACTTTTTTCCCACCAAATGGAGAGTTTATGGGAAACAGCAACAGCATCGTTCATGTGAATTGCTGTGATAAAACTTAATTGTTCGTTAGTTTTTGATTTTGGAGTCATCATTGGAGATCTTCCTTGGCAGCTGATGCTCTTAATCTTCAAACCAGGGACCTCCCCTCATTTATGTTGTTTGCTGATTTGCTCCAT